ATGATTGCCACGCATGGATAGAGTCCTGGGAAGGCAATTGTATCTATTAACTAGGATATTTTATGTGAATTCCTTATAGATAAGTGTGGGCAAAAGTCTGCCGCAAAGACTTGTGGTATCTTAGAGTTTGTTAGAGATAATGGTTGTGTCCGGTATGGGCATATCTTGTAATCCTCGGGTATAAATAGACCCCGAGCCCTATGTAATAAAACACACACGTTCAATACAATCTCGGCGCATCGCCACCCTTTTTACTTTCGTTTTATTTCGACGAGTTGTTGCTTTCGGGTTGAGCTGCATCGGTTTTGATCTTCAACAAGAGGTAAACTTGTTATGGTGGCTTGCGTTCTCGGGATTAGTGCTTCCATCTTTATGACACTCTAATCTTGTTTATGTAATTCGTCGAGTTATCATATGTCTTACATAATCTCTAGCAATATCATCATCTAACCTGACGTCGGTTAATATCTGTCAATAGAGGGTAGCCGATTAGGTTAAATATTGATATTGGTCTAGATTATATGAGACATCTACCATTCTATGAGACTTCTAGCGGCTTGATTGTCTAGATATCGTTCTTCTTTTCATACTTAATGCTGCATCAGTTAAGTTTGATCTATTAAGTCGTGCTTAGAATATCAATCCCTAGCATGCCTTCTAGTTGCCGATTAGAATAGCATCGGGGTTTCAGCCGATCGTATCTGATTTAACTACTTTTTATCCTATACGCTTGATTGACATGTTAAATCTGCCCTTTGCGTTAAGATCTTGCCGTATTTAAGTATATTAGGCTTTTGCTCAATATATTATACTTGCTTTAACATCTTGATATAGAGTAGTATCGGAGTATTAGCCGATACATGCTATATCTATCTGATCAGCTATGCTATAAGCATATATAATCTTGTTATTGACATATATTTTGATCTAAGTGATTTATACTGTCTTGGCATGATGACCGATCTATCCTAATCACTTGATTTAAGTATATATCGATATAAGGAGTATATATTGTTAATATCTACAGCCGATCAAGTAGATTTAGTTCTTCTTTACTTATTTATAACTGCCGATCGATACACAGATGACATCGGCTCAAAGATAAATGATATGTCATCGGCATCTAGCTGATCGGCTATCATTTATAAATTTAACTACGATTTCTTCGCTTCTATTTCTTGTTGATTACAGGATTAAATCAACTGGCACGCTAACACATCCGAAGGCGAGTTTTGGACCTACACTGGAGTTAAGCGGATCTCCCAAGCCACGTGTTTCTGTCAACAGCTTCCCTAAAGGGTTCGGAGCCCAGGGTGGGGAGCCCTCTTCGAGCCAAAGGTTTGAAAGGTCGCAACGTGTAAACAAGGATAAACAAAGGTAACAAAGGAGGTGTTACAATACCCGGACCAAAGCAGACCTCTCTGGGAAAGCTCAGCGTTGGCCGGGGACTCTTTTTGAGCATAGCATTTGTAATACTTCCTTTAAGTATATATCTTCTTTATTCATGCTTATCAGCAAAATTATCATGGCTTATATTTATCTCTCACCCATCTCTTCCTCGCGGTCCCATGATTCCCACGTGTCACACGCTCATTTGCCCCCCTTGGTAACAAAAAGTTTGTATTCACTTCACCCATTAAAATGATTCTTTGCTAAAAGTGTGGGGGCTACGATTCCTAGCTCTATCCTAGACCTGCGTCGAGCTCTGGACGCCGTTGACGCCCGGAGCCCCCTGTGCTGGCTCTCCCGTAGCAACTGGCTTTGGCCCCGCCGGCTGGCTATGGCACCCAGCTTGGCTTGATCGCGGGTGAGGATTGCTGGCTATGGAAAGTTCAGTCCTCACACTCACACGAAAATAATCGTTTGAATAGATGAAGTAGAACATGAACAGAGGTTAACAAAAGGCAGGGGCAAGCAAGGTGCGCCGCGGGCCCGAGAGAATCTAACAACGTTTGCTGAATATATACAGAAAATAAATTCACAACCCAAGGTACGGGCTGGCGAGTCGCCCTCAAGTTGGGGCGAAAAAGGCGCATGGGCCCTAGTGCCAGCAAAGAATGGAGAAGAGACCGGGCCCACATCGTTAGACTAGGAGAGTGGCGTCAACCCTGGCCACTGGGGGAAGGTTTTGGTCAGGGCTAATGCCGGGGGCTACTATCGGTGATATGGGCCCGGGGGTATCACGTCTAGAGAGAGGGGGCCGCCCTCAAACCCACGTGGCTCCCTGCGAGGGGGATCAAGCCCGGGGTGGAGCGGTGGCTACCCCCTCCCAGCTAGAGGGAGGAGGCCGCCCTCAAACCCACATGGCTCTCCCCGAGGGGGGTCGAGCCCGGGGTGTTGCGGCGGCTGCCCCCTCCCAGCTTGGGGTCGGGCAGCCCCCAACCCACGTAGCTCCCCGTGAGGGGGGATCAAGCCCGGGGTGGAGCGGTGGCTACCCCCTCCCAGCTAGAGGGAGGAGGCCGCCCTCAAACCCACGTGGCTCTCCCCGAGGGGGGTCGAGCCCGGGTGTTGCGGCGGCTGCCCCCTCCCAGCTTGGGGTCGGGCTGCCCCCAAACCCACGTGGCTCCCCCCGAGGGGGGGTCGAGCCCGGGGTGGCGCGGCGGCTACCCCCTCCCAGCTAGAGGGAGCAGGCCGCCCTCAAACTCACGTGGCTCTCCCCGAGGGGGGTCGAGCCCGGGGTGTTGCGGCGGCTGCCCCCTCCCAGCTTGGGGTTGGGCCGCCCCCAAACCCACGTGGTTCCCCCCGAGGGGGGTCGAGCCCGGGGTGGCACGGCGGCTGCCCCCTCCAAGCTAGAGGGAGGAGGCCGCCCTTGCTTGGGGTCGAGCTGCCCCGACCCCCTCCACGTATCAGCCCACGTGTACAGGGTTAGGTGGGCGCGCCTAACGCCCACCTAACTGCATTTAAAGCGGTCTATGCAACCGCGCCATGCCGTATTTAATGTGGCGTGCTGCGCATCTGACCGGTCTGTGACCGGTTGAATGACCGATGGGACGGCGACTGTGTACCCCCGCCCTGTCAGTGTGTCAGGCGGCGAGCGGCGTGCTCCGTCCCGTCCCATCATAATGATGAGGGGTTTCACAGCCTCTTACCCCGGTCAGAGCTGGTCCAACCACTCTGAACTGACCCGGGTTCCCGTTTTCTGGTGTGAACGAGAACCCGGAAGTCCTCATCCATTAAATGGCAAATGACAAGGGCGCCCTGCATGATTTGATGGGCCCCGCGCAGCAACCGACGTGCAGATAGCTTCTGGGCTAAGGCACAAGACATGTAATTAATATAGAGAATATTTTCCCTTCTCCCTAGGTAGCACTCGCAGCACATGTGATATCCCCTTAGAAGTATAAAAGGAGGACCATACCTAGCGAGGAAGGGGGATTGGACTGAGGATCCCTGAGCCAAAGCTTGTCTAACCCTAGCTTGCATACCAGGGATTCAGGGACTTTCTAAGCACAGAAGAATCATACACACAGGAGTAGGGTATTACGCTTCATAGCGGCCCGAACCTGTATAAACCTCTTTTGTCTCATCGTCTTGGAGGAGCTTCCGAGATCAAGATCACACACAGTTTTGCTCACCAAATCCTCGAATCTCACCCGCTGCCCCCGACCGAACTCTCAAAGGGGGGCCTCACAGCCTCCCGCTAGAGAGGGTCACCCCTCGACAATATCAGTAGAAGGACAGGTACAACTTATTATATAATATACAATTCGTGAAAAAAAGACGCTAGTAACGCGCGCACACTCACCCCTACGAACACACACGCACACTCACCCCTACGAACACACACGCACACTCTACTCCTATGAGCATCTCTGGAAGACTTGTTAGACATATCTTGAGATTAACAATGTCATCACAGACGTTTCGCTCACGACAGGTACGTCGCCTACCACTGAAAAATATTTAGCCGTTAAAGTCTAGAACTTCAATTAATCCGGGTTAGTTGGTTCCATCATAATGAATTTAATCAGTTGAGTTATGCTCACTTCGTACAATCGTCGAATTTATCTGCACGTTGCTGCAATAATTGCATCTAAAGTTGTCCGCTAGGGCTAAAAAGCAAAAGAGAAGTGCATTTTTGGATCATAGTCTGACATGGTTCCATTGAGCTCTCGAGTTCTCTCCGAATACCAAATTGTACGTATTTCCTTTTTGGTTGCTGCGCTAGTTAATTGTCTCACAAATTCATGTACCTAATTTACTAACAAACTCATAAAATCAGCAGCGCCGGCTACCGGAACAGCACGATTTCGTTTCATATATATATATATATATAACTCAAGCAAAATTAAGACGGCAGCTCAGCTTCGCCGCCGCTCATCCAATAGATTACGCTACAATGGCGCCGGCAGAAGACCATACAGGAACATGGCGAATTGCCGAGGGAGTCGCGCCCAATCGATCCTCCGGGCCCATGTCTCCAGTAGTCCCAAGTTTGCAATCAACAACCCCGCTTACGAAGTTCTCCCCGTATCTAAATATTTGACGGCGTTGATTTTTTTAAATATATTTTATTTGACGCCATTGACTTTTTTAAATATGTTTGACCGTTCATCTTATATAAAAAAATTAAATAATTATTAATTTTTTTCTATCATTTGATTCATTGCCAAATATACTTTTATGTATACATATAGTTTTACATATTTTATAAAAAAATTTAAATAAGACTTACGATCAAACATGTGCTAAAAAGTTAATGGTGTTAAATATTTAGTAACGGAAAGAGTAATAAAGCCACCTCTTGCTCGCGGAAAGGACAGGCGCCGGCCGTCAGCATCAGCTACTTGTGCTGCACTGGTTCATCAAAAATGATCAAAAGCACCGGGCCAGTGGCTAACCTTGTTGCACCTGGTAGACCACCGGGCCATGATGATGATTTCATTAGCGATAACCCCAATCCTGTCGTGTCTCCCTTTCAAATTAATCTCTCCCCTTTAAACTGAATTTAAAATTGAACCGCTGCACTATGGAACAGAAAAGAAAGGATACAGCACCTGTTGAATTTTCTTATGTCGATCGATCACTTTTCGGCAGGAGAATATCTCCGGTCGACTTCTTTCTTTTCATTACACGGTAAACAAACGCAAAAAATATCACACTCACACCTTCACAACTGCACCCTCTAACACACGCTAATCTCAAAGACGAAAACCAACGGTATATCTCTAGTCTTACTAAAATTATATTTATAGTCTATTTATATATGCGTAACATTCGTGAGTATTATACACCCACAATTCCATCAACATATCACTGGTCGACTTTGTTGCTAGCTACTAGCTTGCAAGTTGCTGCTACTGCGAGCATGCTCTTCTTCAGGATCAGAGCGAATGTTGGATCAGAGCGAATGTTGCCCCGGTTGGATCGAAATGCCGGTGGTGGACGACATCAGGAGTGCATGCGTGAAAACTAATCAAGTCTCGCTTAAAATAATATTACGTAGTGGGCAGGCAGCTTCAGCCTGTGGTGCCACTGTTCGCGATAACTCCAACAATCCAGCCACAAATACTTTACTGAACCGCAGCGAATTCCCTGTTGCAATCGAGAAACTATTTTAACCGCTTGAGTGAATGTCCACCCATTTATTGCATGTCATCTAAATAATTATAAAAGGAATTGAAAAAATATGGATAAGATAGATCAATATGTAATGTATCAATCCACAAACATACAAGTTAAAATTCAACTTCTACAGATTGTAACAAAAATAACAAACAAAACTCAAATTACTATATGTATATTTACAGTTAAATTTGTTATTTTTGTTACAACTTGTAGAAGTTGAATTTTAACTTGCATATTTGTGGAGTGATATATTACATATTGATCTATCTTGCCGATTTTTTTGAAAATTTTTCGTAGTCATTTAGTTGACATACAATAAACGGGTGGACGTCCACTCGAGCTATTAGAATCCATCCCCTGTAGCAATCAGCATATGTAGAGTAGATTACAGTATGTACAACAAAAGGTAAGTTTGCGTGTTCGATCGTGTCAGTTGGCTTAGTGCCCTAATGCTGTTAATTAAGCTACAGAGATTCCACCTGAACTACCACCGCATACATTGCGTTTTTCCTCTCCCGTTTTAAATACTCAAAAGGTATGTACAGCTTACAGCACTCCAAATTCCCCCTGGAGACTTGAACAGAAAGCTAGGAGATTAAAGTGATCGCCGGCGAGGTCATGGCCCCCACGCCGGCGACTAAAGAACGATGGTGAGGGCTCCATTTCCGGCGACCTCCACACGACAGGACGCACCTCGCCGTGGCGCATTGGTGGTTAGGCACCGCGCGCCGTTGAACCGGGCGTTTTTCTTTTTTAATTGCGAGATCTTTCTGAAGCGGTCAAGCTAGGCAACTGCAAGTGGTGTGATAGCTTACAGGTGGGGCCGCTTCGTCAGTGGGGGTGACGGATCGGAGCAGCTTGGCGTTGGCAGCTAGCCGCGCTGGTTGCACTTCACACGGCGGAGTCGTCGTCGTCGCCGCCGTTGACGTCGGGTTTGGCGGCGGTGGCGGCGGCGGCGAGGAGGAGGCTCCGGCAGAGCGGGCAGCTGGGCTGGGAACGGAGCCAGGCGTCGACGCAGTCCGGGTGGAAGCAGTGGCCGCACGGCGGGAGGGCCTTCACCTTCTCGCCGGCGACCAGCGCGCTGATGCATATCGAGCACTGCGCCGCCTGGTCGTCGTCGACGCCACCGCCGCCGCCCTTCCCGGCGGGAGGCGACGAGGAGTCGCGCGGGCGGTACAGCGTCACCGGCAGGCCCCCGATCGCCTCGGCGTCGAGCCCGTGCATCGACGCCGCCGCTGCGGCCCCCGCCGCCCCCGCCGCCGACGACGAGGAGGAGGCCTCCGGGTCGGGCGTGTACCGGTGGCACGCCCAGCGGAGGTAGAGGCAGAGGGCGACGAACACCACGACGGCGACGAGCAGCCCGACCAGCAGGTACACGGCGCGGCCGTGCACCGCGAAGTTGCTGTCGTCGACGTCCCCGTACCGCCACCGCATCACCTGGTTCGTCGTCCCCGCGGCGCTCTCCTGCGCGGCCATTGCTCCCTGCTCCCACAGGCCACAGCCACAGTAGTAGAGCTAGCTAGCTCTCCACGCTATATGCGGTGGAGGCACATGGGAGATTGACCAGTCCTCCGGCCGGCGTGTGGTGGTGGTGGTGGCGGCAGCTAGCCGTACGTCGCGCTCGATCGCGCGCGGCGCGATCGAGACGAAGAAGCTTCGGCGCGTCTGCGCGCAAGTGGCGCGCGTGCCCGCGCGGTGGTGGCGTGTGGTGTGGCGAGCGACGCGAGCGCGAGCACCGTGGTGTACCGGAGTGCGAAACGCGATGGGTGTCGTGTGGGTTTTAACAAATTCAAGGCGGCAGGGCCGTCCCTTTTAAGGTTGGTAAAGGCGTGGCTGCCGCGCGCGCAGTCGAACACCTAAACGCTAAAAGGTTCGTTTTTTCAAAAAAAAAAGAAAAGAAAAAGAAACATACAGAAAAGTTGTTTTTAAAATTATATTAATTTTTGTTTTAAATTTAAAATAGTTAATATTTAATTAATCATACACCAATGGCACACCTCATTTCTCACATCTTTTAAATTTTCTCATTTCCCCGTCTTCTCAAATACCCCTCTGTTTTGTATTATAAGTCATTTTTTTCCTAGTTAAACATTTTTAATTTTTTTTCTAAAATTATGGAAAAATATATCAATATTTCTAGTATAAATAGACATATTATGAAAATATATTTTTAATAAAACTGATGTTACTAATTTTTTTCATAATCTTACTCGAACTAAAAATGTTTAAAAAAACAAGTTAAAAAGACCTACAATATGAAAACGGAGGAGTCCATCCTAGTTCATTTCCCCTGGTTACCAACTCCCCGCTCTCGTTTTTCGCGCTCACGCTTTTCAAACTACTATTTTCTCCGGGCTAATAATACTTGTCGTTTTAGACAAGAGTGAAGTCAAATTTTAGAATCTTTGATTATGAATTATTTTTAAAATATTTATCTTTCAAACATGATAATAACATGTATAGATTAGTCTTAAAAAGTACTTTAATAAAATCATATATTTGTTAACACTTTTATACATGTTATAATAAAAAATAATGGTCAAAATTATTTTTTAGAGACCGTGCCCTTATCCAAAACGATAAGTATTATCAACCCAGAGGGAGTAAACGATATGTTTTTTTTAAGTACTAGTGAACCGCTCCGTTTTCCGGGAAAGGGGCAGCAACGAAGACAGCCGCTCGAACGGATGCATCCGGCTCGGCCGGCTGGCTAAGCTTCGGAGCGATCCGGTCGTTTTCGGGCTCGGCCGACTGGCTCCGCGCGCTCGTTTTCGCGTCGACTTGGAAAGATTTGGTCGCTAGCTGTTGACCGAGCGATGTCGCTGGCACGTTTGCTGGCTTGTGGGAATATTATTGACTCGCAAGTCGCAATGGAGGGCGTTGGTTTTGAGCCACAAAAGTCATGTAAATATTCAAATTGTTTGTGTACATAAGTTGGTGTGTACTGCTCCATATATTATTGCATCCGGTAGACGACTTTCCACGCAGGTTTGTATGATTGGAGTGTACATGTCTTCATGCTATGCGCCTAACAGCTGCTGGTACAAGTAGACACATGAGTTAACATGACCATTTTATTTACAACCGGAAGTTGAACCGGATGATAATAAAATCGAGCAAGACAAAAGTAGTGCGGCCTTTTTCGCCTTCATACCGTCTTGTTTCAAGCAATTTTCAGTAGTTAACACTTGAAATAACTTGAAGCAATGCTCATGCAGCAATAACCTAAGTAATCTTTTCATATTATTTACCGAATCATTAAAATGGATTATTTATTCTGCTCTTCAAAAAAAATATGTTTTCTCAAAAAAAAACTTTCTTCTTTTGTTTGTTCAGACCACTTGTTTTTATTTTTTTTTTAAAAATACCTAATTGAATTGTTCCTATATTCAAGTAGAAAATCTACGATAGTAAACTGAATAATGTAAATCAAACAGAAAACATGAAAACAAAATATCTAGACCGCTAAAAAGAATACCAGCACTTGTTTTTTTCTCTATCTCGAAAGATAAAGAAAAGGAGAAAATACCAATAGTAGTAACTGTTCAGTTTGGCGCCTCTGTTCTGATGTGCACTACGCCTCTAGCCACCGAGACAGGAAGCCAACAAGACACATGGCGTGCGACGTTACGTGAAATCCACCCTGATCTCTCGGCTCGACCGCGCGCGCGCGGCGCGCGAGATCAAAGGCAGCAACGGTAGCGGTCACAAATCACAGATCGCTTTGAGCTCGATTGATCGAGATAAGGCTGTGGCCCGATCGAAAAGCTCGCTGCACACCATGGACCCCGGCCGGGCTTTGAGTGGTCGATCACACATATCACTAGCTGCATACATATATATCACACACACCACCCTTTAATTCCCAATCTAATCTACTATCATGCTCCTTTTGCTAATAGATTATTGCATGCCTAACAATGACCGCTACACACAAATTAAAGCAGAGAAACAGATAGCTAGCTAGCTTAGCTAGCAGCTCCAAAAAAGGGGCAATGACTGAATTAAAGCCAGAAAGCCATGTGTCTGATCACTTCCATTATCTATCATCATTTCTGAAAAATATCCTGGAGGAAGGAGACGAAGGCTGTCCAGGCTACTTTCCGTGCGTTCTATCACCAATTCCTAGCTTTCTTCCTTTCTTGGGCTTACGTCTAGTGCAGTGCAGTTGTTGTTGCCTTGTTGCACCTAGTGCACATTACGATTGGGCTGAGCTTAAGCTTAGATTAGGCACGGTGCTCGGGTAAAAGGCGCATATGGCGTTGCCCTGCCCAGGTTGCATATGGCAAAGTGCGAACTAGCTAAGCTGTGGGCGGAAAAAGTAGGCGATCCAACCGGACAAAAACTGCAAAAGCGCCATATCTTCTTCACCAGCATCGCACTATGAGTCCCCTGATCCCACTCATCCCCATCGTACGGTTTCCGTCATGGCTACATTCTACTCGCTGTTCTCGTACTTGCCAGTAGTTGTTGGCTACTTAGCCAAAGCATGATCATATCAGTGAAGTGACAACTTTTTTCACGCAGTGCAAGTTAGAAAACGGAGTACGCTGTCATGCGATTGGATGGACGATGGATCATATAATTGCTACTCCTATCTAGCTTGCTTTGGATCGATCGATTTTCTCGCAGCTGATGATGGAGAGTAGACGCAAGATCGACGTGCGGTGCCCTGTGCCCACATTCAGCTGTCCAGCAGAAACGATGAGCAGATGCATGCACGGTAAATGTACTATAACATCTCGCGAAAAAGAGGTAGCCTACTTGGGCTAATTGTGGCTGGGCGAGTGCGAGTCTGATGCTAAAGCGAGCTGATCAGTTTCCTGTGACCACTGTTGCACGATGGTGTTGCATCGATCTGACGACGGATCGCGTGCGGTTCATCGATCGAGCCTCGAGGAAGGGAGGAGGTTTGTGGTGGAGGACTGGTGGTCCGGTCAGGTGGATGATGGCTCGCATGTACGGTTCATTGATCCGTCGCTGTTATCAGCTCAAGGAAATGTATTGCGGCGGGGGCCGAACCGCCGAAAGCAGCGAGGCCCTGCCCTGTTGCATGACTGCATCGTTTAGCGGTGTTCTGAATATAGAGTGGCACTGTTGTCAAAGCTGAAGTGACCATCGAATGATATATGCATGGATGGATGCAAGCAGCGATCTACTCAAAAAAAAACAGAGAGAGATGTGATATATTATAATACTACAAATATATGTGTATGTTCAGATTCATAGTGTTAGAATGTATCATTTCTCGTCTTAAGTTATAAGGGAGTACAGTTAATCTACTAATTAGCTCATGATAGAATCACCGTTTGATCCTGTGGCGTGCAGATAGTGTTACAGTGTAGTGCAGAGAAGTAGAGGCGCCAATTAGCCGGAATGCAACCTAGCTAGAGGCCCAGAGCTTAGCCCTAGATAAATACTTAAAATCCCTTTACAATAATGCAATTTTGAAGGGATCTCTCCTCGTGTTGAGAAAACTTTTCTTCTTTTAGTTCTTCTTCATTCAATTCATTTAAAAAAATGCAAATGGTACTCAAAATTCTCATTGGTATACGTAAAAAATAAGCCAATTTAGTAGCTTTTTGTTCAGTTTCTCATAGAGTAAAAAAATTCTCATCGGTAGTTCGGTACGAGTCAAGGAATGGCCAACTGGCCTGGATTTCCACGTAAAGGACGCGACGAGAAAAAAGACCTCCTTTAGTGCGTAGTCTTAACCAGGCCGAGCCCAACTTGGTTCAGTTAGTGTCCGAAATTTTCACCCATCCGTATTTGTAGGCTGAAATTAAGACTAAAATCACGACCCAAATCCATTAATGACCTGATATCCAAGTTGTGAATTTAAACTAAACTAGAAAATTAGCGTGCCGATAGGCACGCCTACTATTTTATAACCTGCTTGTTTCATAGTAGAATTGATTTATTATAGTTTCGTTCTTCTGGATTCGTAAAAGCTGGTGACTAAAATAGTTGTTGCGTTTATGAACTTGTGCTAGCTAGATAGTTAAATATTGAATAAATCAATGAAAATGGTATTAGAATAGAAGTTGGTAGATATTGGTCGTCAAAGGAAAAAACAACTTAGTATTTATCACGGGTTAAATCGTGGATAGTCAGTACTGTAGTGTGTGGCTTAGAAAAATTGAAAAACTCAATTCAGCTTAGAAAAATTGAATTGAATTAGATTCATTATTATTTTCTGGGGAAATGACTTTCAGCTACCACTTTTTTCATTGAATGATCAATTTGTAATACAAAATTTTCATAGTAATTCAACATAAATTATTTTGAAATGGGCAGAGAACCATATTGTTCCTGTATATCCAGAATCGGCACGCTCGCTACTTTAAAACATGTGCAGTTTCTTAAGTTACTATTGAATGTAACGTTTTTAGAGGATTAAGAAATACCCAAGCTCACAGTATAGGCTAGTTCATGGTAGTATTAATTAGCAGTAAACTGATGTAATTTATCATTACATCCTCCTTGGATATGTTTTTCATATTTTATTTTCTCTCACTTTTTTTTAGGAGCAGGGGCAGCTCTCTTGTTTGTTTATATTTTTTTTCAGCCCAGGAGCTGGTTAGGCCGGCGTGGCCTAGCTCACAAGTATGCGCGGATCCACGGCCCAGCCGGTGCCTACTGAAGCGATCGATTTGAGAGTCTAGAAGCGACACGTGTCGAAAAACTTATGGGACAAGTGGACCAATCAGCTGGCTGGGTCCCCATCTAGCTTTAGAAGTATTGATGATTGGGCCCGTATATAATCGGCATAAGGAAAAGGAATAAGTCCATTTTAACTCCCTTAAATATAGGTCAAATCTAATTCGTATCCCTCATCCGTACGTGATACCGATATCTTCGAGGGAGCTATATTGCACCGGATATTTGAGGGGCTCCAAGTGGACTTACTCCTTAAGGCAATCCGAACGGACTTCCTTACAGTGACAGGCCTTCCTCACGGCCTTTTTCCAGCTGAAGGAATTTTGTCACGGCCTAAACCCATCTATAATATAATCGGAACGGGCTCAGGCCTTGTATGGATAATAATTCAGGCCCAGTTCCTACGAGAAATCCAAACTCTCTCTCTCTTTCCTCCGCGCTAAAACGCGCGCGGGGGAGCGGGAGACACCTAGACGGACAGAGAAGAGAAAAACACTGCGCCGATTAACAAGTGCTTACGGTTTGTTTGGCAACTTAAGTGAAGGGGATTGGGAGCTTACATGAGGAAATTGATGGTGAGATTAAGATGGGAATTTGATTTTTATTCCCAATATCTTGTTTGGCAGAGGTGGTGGAAATTGACATAGAGTTTAGTTAGAGATTAGGTCATTAATGAAAACGGTTAGCTGAGATTTGTTTAGGTAAAGTAAATGAGGAATTCCCTCCAAATTACCACCCCTACCAAGGTATTGAAAAGGAAAGAGTTCCTTCCTCAATTCCCCATCTCCATCCCATCAAAATTTTCATGTCTCCCAACCAAACAAAACAGGTAATAACCTCATCCTTCTAAACAGGTAAAAATCCCTCCAACCAAACGGGCCTTAAAGGATAAACCTGTAAGCCTCTCGAAACTTCGTCACGCGGCCGACCCCAACGCGCCTTTTTCCCCCGTCTCTGGAAAACGCGACACGACTCCGGCGCCGACCTCCACGTACCCCCTCCACCACCCTCGCCACGCGTACGTCCGCCGCGCCACGCTGCTCGAATCGCTCCTCCTCCGTTTATTAAACCCCCGCGCCGCGCACGCCGCGGCACTCGTCGTCATCGTCATCCATTCTCGCATCAACCAAGAGACGCCACGAGCGCGAAGCGAACACACGAAGCGTTCGTCAAGCAAGAACAGAGTTTGTTTGTGCCGCGATGGCGCAGGAGAGCCTGAGGCTGGTGTCGCACCCGATCGCGGCGCACGAGGGGCGGCTGCCGCGGCACTACACGCTGGAGGGGCAGGGCGCGAAGAAGGACATCTCGCCGCCGGTGGAGTGGTACGGGGTGCCCGACGGGACGCGGTCGCTGGCGCTGGTGGTGCACGACGTCGACGCCCCGGACCCGGACGGCCCCATCGTGCCGTGGACGCACTGGGTCGTCGCCAACATCCCGCCCTCCGTCAAGGGCCTCCCCGAGGGCTTCTCCGGCAAGGAGGGCGCCGCCGCCCGCGAGTACGGCGGCATCCAGGAGGGCGTCAACGACTGGAAGCAGCCCGGCTGGCGCGGCCCCATCCCTCCCTCCCGCGGCCACCGCATCCAGTTCAAGCTCTACGCCCTCGACGACGAGGTGCACCTCGGCAACAAGGCAAGTTTTGATCCGATCGAACCATATCTTGTTGCGATTACATGTGCTGTTTTAAGGATTAGTTTAACGGTGGTTGATTCTTGATTGCTTGCAGGTGACCAAGGACAAGCTGATGGACGCCATCGAGGGGCATGTGCTGGGAGAAGCCGAGCTCATGGCCGTCTTCTAGGACGCGAGCTCTCTGCATTTTGACACCCCTGTGAGACTGTTCTTTGCAGAGCTTGTACCATATCACAAACTTGTTGAACTTTTATCCAATAAAAAACAAGTCACTTGGGTGGTGGTGTTATTGAATACAGCATGCATCTACTACGTTATTGCAACATTGGATCACGTCGCGTACTAGTTGATCAGAGAGCGGTTGCACGTAGCAAGCACGACCTGATAGATTGGAAAATTTAATAGGCATGTCGGCCTTTATCGTGTTGGAAAAACGAACTCGGATCAACATCATTACAGCATCCATATGTACTATAGACTATAGTGGTCTGGTCTCTCGCGTTCTCACCCTTCACCTTGCAGTCAATCGTTGGTTCACTTCACTACTCCTAAACAATAACACGTCCAAAAACAGTACAAACGCGCGTGTAATTAGAGGCCAGGCCGCGGCGCGGCGCGGCGTGGCGTGGCGTGGCGCGCCTAGAGCTGGATGGTGACGCCCCTGGCGCCTAGGGCGGAGAGGCGCTCGCCGGCGGGGCCGTCCCTGTCGCCGCCTCCGCCGCCCCTCGACAGGTCGTGCCGCGTCGCGTCGAACTTCTCGCCGTCGCCCCACAGCGCGTAGGCCTCCTCGCCGTGCGCCGCGTCGTCGCCGATCATGAGCTGCTCGTCGGGCATCCGCAGCGGGATGAACAGGCCGATGCCGAGGAGGATGGCCGTGGTGACCACGAGGTTCCACGCGATCACGAACGCGGCGCCGCCGAGCTGCTTGCCGATCTGCTTGATACCGCCGCCGTAGAACGCGCCGCGGAGTCCCGGCACCGTGGACTCGAGGGAGAAGAGCTCCGGGGTGGCCAGGAGGCCCGTGAGGATGCCGCCGAGGAGCCCCGCCACGGCGTGGGTGTGGAACACGGCGAGCGTGTCGTCCACCTTCATCAGCAGCGCTGACTTCTTGTGCAGGATCATCATGGTGAACCACGGCACGCTGCCGGCGAAGATGCCCATTACCACGGCCGCCCAGGTCTGCACCAGCCCTGCTTACACAATTGTGAATAAAACCAACAAATTACTGCTGACATTTGGAAAAATAAGCACAAGCACAACGCAGCATAGGACAACAATTGCAAAACCGGACCTAAAAACATACGAAACTTCTTTTTATTTGCCTCGGATATAAATGTAGAATCATTCCAAGACTAGCCAGGAACCGTGCGTTGCAAAAAAGAAAGAAGAGTTTTTATAGCGGGAGAATAGCTACTTTAGTCCCTAAAGTTTTTCTGTAGGATCAGTTTAGTCCCTAACCTTTTAAATGGTCTAAAGAAATCCTTAAACTTTGTCATAAGGTCTAGAATAGTTCTTGGATCCACCAAAATCATTATATGGATATGCCATGTCATCATTTATGCAAAATCTATGATGAATTGTCCAATTTACCCTTACGTGTATATCGTAGAAAAATAAATATAAGGGTGAATTAGACATAACTATAGGAAAAAATAGTTATCCTTTTTTTCACCCTTTTGAGGTATATTTTTGCTCTTATATTTTACCTTTTGTTTTTTATTTTCCTATGATATATGTAAGGTAAATTGGACAAATCATATAGATTTTGCATAGGAATGTGACATGGCATATCTATGTGACGATTTTGGTGAGACCAAGGACTATATAACACATATGACAAAATTAAAGGGCTTGTTTGTACAATATGAAAGATTAAGGACCATATTAGCTATTCTCCCTTTTATAGCTTACTAAGTCAATTAATAACATATTCACAATCAATTAGGTTATTTCGAAATTTAGAAAGAGCCAATAATAAAATGGAAGAAGACTCGTTGATAGACTCGTTGATTGTAAGGCTCAAATATCAGTAATAGGGGATTAGGGATGATGTGAAATAACGAACATTACCACTATTAATATTTTATCATTTCAAATATATAAAATCTCCGTGTTCTAAATGGGACATGATAAATTCAGAAATTATAAGGAGTGGAGATTTTTCGTGATGGTACCTGCGCCGGGGGTGATGCAGACGAGGCCGGTCATCATGCCCTGCACGGCGCCGATGACGGACGGCTTGCGGAAGAAGATGACGTCGAGGCAGGTCCACATGAGGAGGCTGGTGGCGGCGCAGACGTTGGTGTTGAGCACGGCGACCGACGCCGCGATGTTGGCGGCGTACGGCGCGCCGCCGTTGAACCCGGCCCACCCCATCCACAGCAGCCCGCCGCCCGCGATCATCAGCAGGATGTTGTTCGGTGAGAACCGCTCACGGTCGCTCTTCAGCCTTGGCCCCACCTGCCAGCCACACGCATTAGAAGTCTTAATGGACGATTGGTTAAAGGGTGGTTTTAGCATCTTTGAAAATATATTAGGAGTCATACATTTTTAAATTATAAAATTTGGTAGGTAACTCAAGGTGTCAAAATTTTTAATGTAAAAAACCATCCGTGCATGAAAAAGCTACTAACTAGTACAGTCCTTGCAAAATTCAACGCGCAAGATGATTCTATTCGACTTTGTAGAAAAAGTTTATTTTCGGATTATTACGGAAAAAGATTTTCATTCCAAACGTGCCTAGCTAGTACAGTCCTTGCAAAATTCAGATAGTCCGATCACAAAAGAAACTCAGAAAATAAGCCCATTTTTAACTTGCCGTTTTCTCTATTCTTGACCCAAACCATTAGCCACACAAGTTGGATAACACGAGAAGCAATATCACCAGATATTTTAGCGTGCAGTTACTATCGACGACAACGATCGAGATAATAAATTTCCGGCCACGACGCTAGACTGAATTTCCTGGTGTTGGTGTGGAACCACACCATTTCTTAATAAGCTCGCGTGTATCTGCTTGCTGCTGCAAAGTGGCACACACGATTGCGACCCCAAACACAACAGCAACCGCAAGAACAAAAGGAAGGAAAAAAAATGGAGCGCGCGCCAACGAAGTCTTCCGGGCACGGCAGGCAGCGGCAGCCATCACCGCCGCCCACCAGCCGAAGCAAATGGACGCGGTCCAATGTTCACACATTCCATGTGGTAAAAGGTGTTTTAACCCTTTTATTGGGTGCAGCTATCAGCCTATCAGCGGCAATGTGATGCTACGTATCATGTGACTTCCCAAAGGGTAGAAAAAAAAATCTACAACCAGCTGATGCATTGATTTCCATTATTTTCTACTAATTTTCCCCCATGGTGACTTTGAACATGAAGTAATTTCTGGTCTAGACATTGTACGTACTACGACTAAATTCTATTGAGAATTTTGTCATGGAGTGTGATGCATTCTCATGAGGAATCCAGATTGATGGGTCAAACAAATGGTACAGGGTAGTACCAGTACCTAACACGCGTTGGACAAACCCGAGACGCCGGAACAGTGAAGTCGCCGGATCAAAAAAACCGGGGTGGGTGACGTCATGATTCCGACAATGACATGTGATCCAACTGAGGAGAGGAAAGAAAGAAAGAAAGGAAAAAAAACGAGAGACGAACGTACCCAGTAGGCGGCGGTGAAGCCGGCGATGCCGGAGGAGAGGTGGATGACGTAGCCGCCGGAGTAGTCGATGACGCCCCAGCGGTAGAGGAAGCCGCCGCCCCAGAGGCTGAAGGCGCCGACGGTGTAGGAGAGGAGGAGCCAGAGCGGGGTGAAGGCCATCCAGGCCTTGATGTTCATGCGGCCGAGGACGGAGCCGGCGAGGAGGACGAGCGTGATGGCGGCGAACTCGAACTGGAAGAGCACCAGCGTGGCCTCCGGGTAGAAGGGCTCGGTGCGCGGGATGGCGCCGTGCGCGGTGGCCGGCAGCGTGGCGCGGCCGACGAGGTAGCTCTGGGTCAGCGCCACGCCGGCCTTGCCCCAGAACGGCAGCAGCTGGTCGCCGAACGCCATGCGGAAGCCGACCAGCACCCACACCAGCAGCGACGACGCGTAGGCGTAGAGCGCCATGAACGCCGAGTTCACCGCCCACTTCTTCTTCACGATGCTGCCGTACAGCACCACCAGCCCGGGCATCGACTGGATCCCCACCAGCGTCGACGCCGTCAGCTGCCACGCGTTGTCCCCCTTGTTCAGCCAGTCCGGCACCGCCGGTAGGCTCGCCGAGTACGCCCCCGCCGCCGCCATCTCGCCCTCCCCTAGTCCCCTTCCCTTCCCTTCTTGCGCCGCGCCGCACGGACGAATCGCTACTTGAGGTCTTCAAGTCCGCGCTCCTGTGCTGTGCCGGACGAGAGGAGACGCGAAAAATTACAAGTGGCGCGAGCTCCCGCGCGTTTGACAGCGAGCCGACTCCACCATTTATATTGTGTTTCGGCGTGATTCATCGTACGAGTTAAACTAGCTAATAATTGGTACGGGCTCGAAGAGGGGAATCGATCGAGTTCGTGATGGATGGCCACGAAACGGCCAATGAAATGGCGAGGGGAGCAGGGTAGCCAAAGCCTCCGAGTCAACGCCGGAGGCAGCCATTTCTCGCAAGATGGCCCACGGGATATGGTTGTGTGTGGCGTGATGCGCCTTTTCTTCCTTAGTTTTTACTTAAAACTTTTCTTCTCTTCATAGATGTGGCATGTCTTGGTTTGTCCTGAAGGAAAAGAAAATAAATAGGCCTGATACATGACTTGAGTTTTTCGTGTTCTTTATGCCCACTTTGTCTTTTTAATGATGGTAGTTGAGGAGATTCCTAAGTCCAAACCTTGATTGGCTTCTTTGTGGAGAATAGACATGTAGATTCAGCAGTATCGCCACCCTCCTTGTATCGGACCTTGGGTATCATCCTACTTGTATTAGAATTTGAGCTTGTTCTGAAAAAAGAATCTCCTCTTGTACTATAGAAGGAGTACAGTGTAATTGATGCGCACGAAACCAACTCACGGAGCAGATACGATGTACTACCTGCACGAACAGGAGATACTAAGGGCATGTTTGAATAATGGGATATTCCAAACTATCCCAAAAAATCAGCTCCATATGGGAAAGGGCTGTTAGAGAAAATCCAATCACTTGAGCAGCCTGAAAGAAGCCAATCAAGGTCTAAAAATTAGGGGCAATTGTAAATTTACCACTACTTTGAATCGTTATTGCAAAACTACCACTAGAAAATTGCAAAAATGCAACTAGAACCGTCATTCGAGTGGCAAATCACAATATTTACGTTTATAACAAGTAGGTGCAAATTATAATGATATATACTCCCTCCGTACTCGTAAAGAAAGTCGTTTAGGATAATGTTTAAGCCAAACCTTAGGAATATAAATCATGAATAACTCTAAAGTTGTTAAGTTTGAAAATGTAAAAATTATATGAATAGATTTATCTTGAAAAATACTTTCATAAAAGTATACATATATAACTTTTCAATAAATATTTTTATAGAAACAAGAAGTCAAAGTTGTGTTTTGGAGATCGTGTCGCTGTACAAAACGACTTCCTTTACAGGTACGGAGGAAGTACTCCCTTTGTCTAAAAAAACTCAAATCCTATAAAATAATCTAGACATACATTTTTTGAAACAGGAGAGTACTGTTGACTACATAATATGTGTGTGTTTCTAAAAAGAGGTGCTAGGCGAGGTAGGCACCGCTTAGCCACCCGACTACTGCCGTGTTTAGTTTATCCCCAACTACCCTTAAAACTTTCCTACACACATAAACTTTCAACTTTTTTTTTTCAAACTTCCAACTTTTTTAAGGAACTAAAGACAGCCTTACTCTGTGACAAAAAAAATACGGTGACAAACCATTTGTTGGCGAAGACTACATTTGACATCAGCTCGTCTATACATAACATAAATATAATTTAGAAATAGAAATATAGTTGCAGAAGAGATACAATTTTATTTCAAACAATTTTTGCGGCAAATTCAACTAGTTTCATGCTAGAAAACAATTTCTAGATTTGAGACGATGTACTATAGATGGTGGCCAGTTGGCACGCTTTCTGACCAAGAAAGCTGTTGTAGACCAGAACCTTTTTTTAAGTCAAAACCGTTTGAAGTGTTTTTTGGATTATTCTTGGCTTACCCCCGAGCACTTATCTTGAAGTTTTTAACTGACAACGGTATACACTGTACGTACGTTGGTACACTGACCGAAGAGTTTGCTTTACGAATTTTTGTTTTCAAATACTAATTACATTGTCATCCAAAATATGCGGATAGACCTGGTGCAAGATGCAATTTTCTCGTATATACATATGACATCCCTAGAAACAAGGTGAAAAGTGGGAAAAGATGTGCAAAAAACATGGACAAGATATACCCACCCTCTCAAGTCTTGCCCCAACTGGTTCTCAAAAAAAAAGTCTTGCCCCAACTCCACCCCAATCGTCTATTCGTCTCCCATCATACGGCCCCAATAGGGTATATCTCATCTTCTCTAGAATATTCTCACAATTCACAAATATATAATGTAATTCTCAACGTGAAAATGTTTTTTTCTTTTGGAATCTAGAGTAAGTTGCCAAGGTATAATACAATACTGGACAAGATGACTAATGTTCAGTCCAAACTATAGATCCACCATTTTGTTGTACCAGTATATAATTGCACGTCGTGTAAGGGTGATTCTGATGAACCAAAACCGGGGCCGTCGACTCGACATTAGATCCCAGCATTTATGGTTTGCTACTTCTTTGTTTAGTCAATCACCCAATTTTGTAGCCACAACTTGCATTACACAATGCTTGCAGCAATTTGAAGCATATGAATACATGTTGTGGCAAAGACCAGGGCAACCCCAGTTTCAGGATAATGATTTACTGTACTAGTAGTGTATAAAAACTGCACATCCCCAAGAGGGGTATATGAGAGAGACCAGGTGCACCAGAACACTTACCGAGAGAGAGAGCTGAAGTGCTGGGAGACATGTCCACCATCCTGCAGCACCGCTGAATAATGAACGCATCAGCCACGCCAAGTTGATATAAACTTCTGCTGATCCACAATAAAGGAATCAAATTAGGTCAGCCCTTAGTCATCTACACATGAATGAAATGAAATGCTCGAGGGACAAGAAGCTTGCCTCCTGGATCTGGCAAGGCAGAGTGAATCTAGCTGACTACATCAGTGATGACTAGTACCTTGGTATCTGGACACAGGTGTTTGTTTAATACGCTAGTATTAATTATGCATCCCTCCTCCCTTCCCCACCCCATTCTGGAGAAAAACAACCAAAAGTTTAAATAGGAACTCAATTCTAATGAAAATGATGTTTCCTTAATTCTTAGGGTAGCATAGAGTAAACACTTTTTCCAGCCTTGTTCAAACCGAGCGTGTGGTCATACATGAATAAAAAGCTCAGATAGAACATGTAGGTAACAGGTTTAGACAAATGCATAGTATTATTTTGCTGGATGTGCATAGTATTATTTTGCTAGATGTACATAATAAATGCAAATGGATCTCCAATCCTAACTCCTTTTGTGTGGTAGAGAGCGAACTAATCCATCAAGTGGATACTTGTTTTATTCTGTAGGCATTGCACATCATCCAATTAAACCATAGCAGTATAGTACGGTTTAGTCATTCTAGGTATATGTAAATTAAAAATATTAGCTAATAGCCATTTGCATCCGACAACTCCAGTTCATGCAACGCATACAGGTTTGACACAACATTTCTTTGTCAAATTCACGTCAGCATCATTATTCTAAAGCAGTCAAAAGGGGATAATAGTTCAAATTCTGACTATCTGTAACTGTTGTGCTATTCATATCCAGGTAATTTACCACCAAGTCACCAACACAATGCAATAAACTGTTACTGTCAATCTTAACTATCCAGGCAGTGTTGAATATTCCAACTTTATCAACAAGCATGCACAGTACCTCAAATCCCTCAATTTGCTTTCTCCTGACTTTTAGTTTCCATACCCACTGCAGCAGCCAAGCTCAACTTTGATCACCAATGCTCCAGATCATTGACATGCTGTTTCAAAATAAATAGGTCCTGTAAAAGCCCAAGGCACAAGTTGTAACATGTTTACAAAAGGTGCTGTAAAGAATGACGTTTTACTAAATAAGTTGATTCAAGCATACCTCAAAGGTTGAAACAATGGAAGTTTGTAACTTGAATGTTGCTCATAACATATAACAGTGATGGAAACAAAAGGAGACATTTTTGGGGGAATTTCGGAGAATGAGAATTCTCCTCAACATTTATAAATATCTCTGTCCGTACATCACTTATTGAATGAGTAAGAGAATAGGCTGACAGCATGCCTTAATATTCAAGTGCACTGTACATCAATCTATTTAGACCTAAAACCTTTACAACAGCAACTACAGGATGGACTTTAGTCAACAAAATTCATTAGTCACGTGTGCCCTCGATATGATTAAGCTAGCTGGAAATCAATGAATCAAGAATTTAGTGTTGATAATGCCCTTATAGTTCTACCATTTCCAACTTCACATGAGCTCCATCTACTGCATACTTCCAGTACCAGGTTCCACTGTCCATCATTTCCTTGCTTATGGGATCTAACTTAGCAACAAATTCTGGTGATAGAGAAATTCAGTCAGATACAATGAGACACAAAATAAAGGTTTTCAGCACAGGTAGTTTATTGAATAGTAAACTTCAAGGAGAAAAACTGATGCATTATGCACGACTCTTTTCACATCACAAGTAATCTTAGTAGAAAAATAGGTCAAGGTGGTAGCCTTTTCGCAAAATGGCACCAAAGATAAGAGGAAAATAGGACATGTAATTAACAAACCTGGTCCATCTTGAACAATGCGCATTCTATGACCAGTGGGAACTTCAAAGATATGGTTACCCTGGTAGAACAAGGATATACAATAGTAAGAAAAAAGAAAAAGCGGGGACACTATTCAAAGTGTTTATTTTTTAGATAATGGAATTCAAAGTGTTTATAAATAATTGCACCTTAAGGACAACATCTTTTGCCTCAAATTCGGCATTTTCATGAAGAATGATCTTCACAGATTCTGATCTCTCGACATCATGCTTCCAGTAGACATTATTGGCAGAACTCCAGTTGATCCCTTTATTCACAATTTTAACACTTTGCAGTTTGCATCTCCCACACCTTTCAACAACCATGGAGTTTTGAGTTTCGTCTGTACAGGACAAGAGTTTACAGATAAGAGTGCAAGGAAAGGATTTTACCTGGCACCATAGTGCATTATTTGTTCTCCAGTATTATTCTTGTTGGTTGAACCCATAATATTGTCAGCTAAAACGATTAGGCTTCCATCGAGCTAAAACTTAAACAAATAAAGTTAGTTTGCCATATAAAGGAAAATGTAGAAGGAAACTATGTCCTTTGATGGTTACTACTTACCTCAACATCTTGCCATAGAAATTCTGCCACCTCTATTTGCAATTCTGAACCTTGAGAGACCGAGCCACCTACAAACTGCATGTACGGAAACTTAGGCTACTAACTGACCGTCAAAGATAACTAAGCTATAAAAGTGACAATATATAAACAGTTTCAGATTGTAACTATTAGCACCTAAGCATGTAAATTATATAATACATAGGGTGTCAATGGCC